GTTGGCATCGCCGAAGTCCTTCGGCATCACTTGCGGAATCGAGTTCTTTTTTGTCATGTGCTTGTGGAGGTAGAACTTCAAGCCAGCGAAGACCGGCCAGAAGTCGAAATGTGCTTCACTTTGGGCGTCCGCTGTAACGCCAAGCCTGGTGGAAGGCTTTGCAATCTCCGCGAGAGACCACTTTTGCGAATCCTCGTGGTTGTTGTAGAAAAGAACGGCGGGAAGCGTCCAGACCGGATACTCCGTGACTGGATATTTCTTCGGTCGTGTTACTAGCAAGTCGAACTTCGCCTCCGCACTTTGAGCAAGCTTAATAGCCGTATCCGTGGTCATGGCTGCCACAATCAAGTCGACTTTGCCGCTCTTGTATTTCTGCCAGTTGTCACGGACTACCTCCCTCATGTCCTGTTGCTCCTGTAGCATCAGCGCAACAGCAATCCAGAAGTCGTCCTCTTTGTCTTCCTCAGCTTCCTCGAGCGTAACATTAGATACGTCAGGGAGTGTATCTTCAGCGATGTCTTCCTCGTCGGCTAGTGCCACAAGCTCATCGACAGTCAGCCCCGCGAAGCGATTGCGTGACGATAAGTCAGCCACATTAGTAGCGGAACCATTGTTGCGTGCGATTTCTGGTCCGCCCGACCCGAGGAATGGCTTGAGAGATGCGAAGGTGTCCTCGAGAACCTTGATGAAGTATTCGTGCCGCAGGTCACTGTTCGTATCCGGGTTGATTTTCGCCTTGTACCATTGCGAGACCTTCCGACGTGTCTGAATGGCGCGACTGAAATGCCTGCATAAAGCAACAGGGACCATGATCTCAGACTCTGCTTCTTCTCCAGCTTTTGCTATCGCTTCTGCCATGGGTACAAAGTCCGATACTCCGAGTTGGTATACCGGGCCACCGCCTCCACCTTTCGCATTCTGGTTGCCTTTCCTGCCCGCGCCCTTTTTCGACTTCGATTTCGACTTTGTCTGTTTTTGTTCTTTCGTTTTGACTTCGAAGCCGATGGACGCGGCGGTTTCGGCAATCCATCCTGCAATGTATTCGGTGGCTCGCTTGTACAAGGTGTACTTGGCGAGGAAGGTCTATGGCTCGTTGAGACCTGACATGATGTGAACCGATTCGAGGCAGAGAAGCGCTCGATGTTCGCGTTCTGTGATGGGTGGGGTGCCTGGGTGCGACGATGGCGGTTCCTGGTGCTGCCGCAGCTCGTATAGCTCCAAATGAGAAGGCGGGCAAACCCTGCCGAGCGCCGCTAGACCTATTCCCCACTGCACGTGACCTCAGAAAGGCGGGGCACAGAACTATCAGCGAGCACGACTCATAACGGCCCGAATCGATTCAAACACTCAACTACGCCTCAGGTCCATTGATATAATACGGCGTCATGTCAACGGAGTCGTGGTGTGAATGCGGAATGGATCATTAAAATGATGAGATTGTTGCACTGTTTATAAAACGTCCACGGGTATCCTATTCTTGAGTGCCTACGTATGCTCGACATCCCAATCAGAAGCTGCCCAGGTGCCCATGTGAAGAGAGCTTCGGGACCTCAAAACCAGCTGCTGTACTCGTTTGTCAAGCTCATCCTACTTTATTCTTCGTTGCGATGTACTGATAAGTCAGGGTACCTAGGTAGGCCCATTAGGTTATCTGCATACCTAGGTATCGACTATCGTATCTAGGCTTCTAGGTCAGGTGTATAACTAGGTGATCACGACCGGATGCAAGCTCCTTAGCGATAGTTTTTGCGACGCCTTCATTCAGAGTCTTGGAGTCGCCCAAACCACCGATGGTGATTTGAACTTGCAGAGGCAACTATGGTCGAAAGCGGAATCTGAAGAAACCTCGCTTACGCTTGTTGCAAGCAATTTTGACAAAGAGAGAGAACAGGGCTGTTTCTATAGCAGGAAGCGCAGTAGGTATCAGTATCCGTAAGTACAGATTGAGTAGCGGTGAAGGACGCCATCTACAAATCTCTACATGTAGTCTGGTAGTCGCCAAAAAGGTTATTAGAATTGTCAAATAAGCGGTCAGATTCTACTACTGTAGTCTGTAATCGGCTATCGTCGTCCACTTTGCTATGGTGTTGGTTCGAGATCTTAATCGCGCCGTAGCGGCATCGTGGCGTTTGTAGACCCGACCAAGCGCCAGATCAATCAAACTCAAAGTTGACATTCACGCCGTCGAATGTAGTGTTGTCTGTAGTTGCAGTCTGACTGCAGAGGTCGATTAGAATCCGACCCTGTGGTCATTCTAGAACAACATGAGGAGAGCGGTGACTGTTGGCGGACGCCGAAGAGCTTCGGAGCATGGCCGTGCCCTTCCTGGTGTGTCGCAAATGTCCCTGGCACCCGTGGACATCTGGCACATGGCCACAATCCATCGCAATGCGCGAGCATCTCAGTACCATGGCGTCGCATTGCTTCTGGCCCTTCCACTACGCGCTGCATGTGCTGTACTTACCGCCTTGAGCTGTCACGTCCGCTCCTGAGTTTCGTCGACCCTGCGCCACCACACGCACTAGGCCATCAGCCTCGCCGCCCTCGCGTAAATAGGATGGCAGGATCGCGTGGAAGAATGCGTTTCGCCTCAAAGAATGCACTTCAGTTAAATGAAGTGTTTGTCGCGATTGGCTGCTCGACAGCAAAATGATGTAAATCGTCCTGCACGACTTGTTCAGATCTTGCTGCGTTGTCAGGAACCGGGTCTTTGTTGTGACGTAGATCGATGCAAGCGAGGTCGGCTGCTCGGGCTGTCACGCCAGGATCAGGCAAGGCGCGCTCAAGTGGGGCTTAACGGCCGCCTGGGCATGCAACGTTCCGTTCCATACATTTTCACAACGTCTCCTGAGGAATGCACCTTCTTTCGCCGTTTAGGACCGAATGCGGGTCTCGTTGTGCTGACCAGATGTGTGCGAATGGCCTTATCCAAACTCTAACGGATATTACGGATGTAAATGTCAGCCTTAGGACAATTCGCACAATTTGACAGCCTTTGTCGTTTGAACTCTGTGAGTACCTATAGATTCCCATCCTTGTGCTATATCAAACGCTAGCCGAACCATCACAGGTTTTCCACCGTGTTACAGGGCTTCCTTGGAAGCTGGTTCTAGATTCCCATTCGCCAATACCCTTGCTAAACCCCTTAGCCCCACGTTTCGATCGCTTTTCTGGACTTCGTCACACCTACCTCTAGCATCATCGGATGGCGTATTGAGGCGCTTGAGTTCTTTGACAGCTGTTTGCCACACCTTGTCATGGGTTAGCTCTGGTAAATCTACCGGTTGCTAAAGAAAGATTTTCAAGGTTGGAATGAACGCGTGGTGTGGGTGACGGTTGAACATCGCCTCCACCAAGTCGATCGGTCAATGCAAGACTACAATCGTGTACACATTCTCACATTCGCATGAATACACTTTCATGCTAGGTGCCGGTCAGGCGGTCTACGGGCACTCAGACCACATCCCACAAGCGTTTGACTTGGTGAACTTGAGGCTCGGAGATGAGCCTTATGCAGCGCCTGTCGACGAGCGCTCCGGTAGCCGGTACCCCAGCTTAGGGTACGTCACTGGCGCTGAAGCCTCAGCTCGTGAAGGGTGTCCGACCACCCTATGGCATAGTCTGGGGCAGCCACAAAACCCTATGAGAGGCTTTGACGTGAATAACGTGCATACAGCCAGGACACCCTGCAGCAAAAGTACGCGCCAGGGGCAGCGAAAAGATGCCCAATGTGTAAGTATGTTCGCGTTCGACATCTGATCCCTGCCCTGAATGGCTATACCTCCGATATCGATCTACGTTCCACAGTATCCATTTTTCATGCGACAGCAACTCCAGCCGTGCAGGTTTCGAGATCAACAGCCCTAACGGATACTCCACCCTCGGTACCAACCAGTCAGCATGATCAGCCAGGTACCACAGAGCCAAACCAGCTGAGATCGACGTCATTCTTTGCCGGGTGCAGACTCGCCATGAAGAAGTTGGGGACGCCAGGTGGACCTGTCACCGTTATTCTGACCGTTATGGACGTGCGCTCCCGGCTGTCAGCTAATTCCCCTGGCGTCGATGACGATCGTAGCCTGGGTATGCCGGTGTTTGATGACGATGGCAATGTAATGAAGCGTGTACTTGGAATGAACCTTGAACAAGATGAGGACTGAGAAGGTATAAAGAGGGCAACGATGCCTCGACAATTGAACATCATCCAACACATTCAACTCACATCAATAACTCTACAACACCACTTCCAAACAACACTTCCTTCTTTCACAAGAACCAACCAACCCAACCAACCTTCAAAATGCAGTTCACCATCACCGCCATTGTTGCTTTCGCCGCCACCGCTGCCTTCGCTGCTCCCCTTGACGAGCGCCAGGTTGGCCTCTGCTCTTCCGGCAACCCCGTCTGCTGCGCTACCGATGTCCTGAACCTCGCCAACTTGGACTGCGCTCCTCGTACGTCCTTCCCATCTTCCCAATCAAAGACATGATCACTAACATTCTCTCAGCTACCACCACCCCCACCAGCATCAACCAATTCATCGACGGATGCGCTGAGTCCGGCCAGCAGGCCAAGTGCTGCCTCATCCCCATCCTCGGCCAGGCTCTCATCTGCTCCGACGTCAACCCCACTGCTGAGGCTCCCGCTGCTTCCTCCGCATAAGCGCCTTTCGTCGCTTCTCATTCGGCATGGCGCGAATAATGTATAACCTCAACGATGGTCGTGCCTTGGTTTCTTAGACATGTACAACATCTTTTCTTCGATTGTTTTAGATAGGGAGTGAGCATTAATACACATTTCACTTGGAATAATTCTTCTTAATATGGTGACATTGATACAATCTATGTATAACTGAAAAGACAAGAGAGGTGTTGAGGAATACAACCTATGTTGTGGGTGAAGTTTGTAACGGCGTGAGGTACCGAGGAGGTATTTGAATACTGTGAGGCTGTCGGTATGACAGCTGATAATAGTGTGAGACGTATACAACGACGTCGCACTCAAGGTTTTGCAACGTCTGGAAGCCATGTCGGCGCCATCTTCTCCCACAATTCCTTGAGAGGACGAGTCTTGTAGTGCTTGTCTTCCTCATTCTTATCTGTGGAGTCGTACTGGTGACACAGCCAATCCCAAATCTTGTCTCGTCCGAAGACATTCTGGTGGAAATACTGACAGGCTTGGTACCATTCATCCCGAGAATCCCAATCTGCAACCTCTTGGCACTGATTGGTCATCTCGGCAGCGCGAGAGAGGCAAGCCGTCATGTTGCCCATTAACGGTGCCATCTCGAGTCCGTGCTGACGGAACAACGGGCATCCACGACCTTGGAGTCGGAGAACTATCGAAGCGCGTTTGAAGATTGGCGCCATTTTCTCAAGCTCTGTCTTCACATACGAGGCCATGATGAACTCTGGATGCTTCATGGGTAACGAAAGAAGCTCTGGTATATCGTATTCACCTATCGTCTTGCTGGCGGCTGCCTCGTTGGGCCATCTGAATCGCTTCCACGTGAGACTAATGAGCCGCTTCTCCGGCAGGCCGAACCAATCCTCATTGCTGAAGTCAATGAGGCCTGCTGCACCTTGAGGCACTGTCGGCTGCTGGGGAGGTGCCTGTTGGATAGGCGCGGAGGTACTCGGTGCCTGTTGCGGCTGCGGAGCGATCGTGATGGCGGGATCGGGGAGGTGTTTAGTGGTGGTGGGAATGGCGGACAGCGTCCCCATCTTGGGGGCTGGAGGGTCTTGCGTACTTGACGCGGGAGGTTCGGGCCTCATGATGATGAGGTCTTTGAGACAATCCTTCAACCCAAGGTAGTTGGCGAATTGACGATAAAGCGCAAGGAAAACCATCAGTTCCTGGCTCTTTTGGATGGAAGCACCTTCAGGGACCAAGAAGTTCCAAAACTCCACAATAGAGGCATTCCAGCCAATATGGGATGACTGCTCCATAGTCATACCGCCCACGAAGTATGGCTTCAGGTCAATCTCGGCACTCGCCATCAAGGTCCAAATCGCGTTTACCGACGACATCCACTCAGTGCCGGTACTGGCAGCAACCAAAAACCCCCTCATCGCAGTCTCGAGGGTAGATGCTTGGCTAGCCAGGTTGCTCATGGTCGACCTGGCAAGGTCTTCGAAAGATGGCTGTGGCGGGGCCGGAAGGTATGTGATAGGTAGCTCGACAACCTTATGGGCAGGCGCGATGACTACATGGTCCTTTGTGGTAGTCGCTGTCGACTTCGTAGTGATTTGAGCCACTTCTGGCTTCGGTATGGTAGGTGCCGCGGCGACCTTTTCGTGCTCGGTAGACCTATAGGCTGGTGGTGGTTGCCTAGGTGCAGACCGCCAGTAATCGCGTTCTTTGCGACGGGTATTTCCCCAAGAAGTCGACAGTTGAAGAACGGAATAGTGTGTCGGGTCGCGTCGATCGGAGTGTGCGAACGACTCGCCGGTGCCGCGGAAGTTGGTGAAGGGGAACCCGAACGGCGGAGGGTATGAAGGAGGCGCTAGCTTTGCAGGCGGTAGTGTGACGGGCGGCGGTGTGATGTGAGCGACGGTGGGAGTGATAGGGAGCTTCGTCTCTTGCGATTGTCCCTTTTCGGCAGGTTCATGGGGGTGTTCGTGGTCGGCCTCGGGATGAGGGCATATCCAGTAGGTATACTTGATATGTACGTATAGGTAGAAGGTGAGATAGACACAGATGAGGAGTGCGATGAAGCGGAGGTAGAAGGGAACTCCTTCGAAGTTGTGGGTGAACTGATAGTAGACTTCCCAGCAGATCTCCCAGTATAGGTACGAGACGGAGGTGCGGAGGTAGCGAACAACCAGCGGAAAGATGCCAGATGATGCGACGATGCGGCCGATGTCGAGAGCTACTAGCAAGAGGAAGCAAAGAAGGGCGATGGTGACAGTGCGCATCTTGTCGGTAAAGCGTGCGGCAGGTGAGCTCGCAAAGCAGGGTATGAAGAGGTTTCGGGTATCGTCAAATAGAAGAGCTTATGTTGGTAGCTGCGATGGAAAAGAATTGGAGTGTTTGGTTTGGAAACTGAGAGCAATGAAGCAGGACGGGTGTTTTGAGGGTTTGTATCGCTTTGTGTGTGGGCGAAAGATATTTTGACTGCTATTGTGACTGGGTCCGTGCCTATTGTTGGTCACCGTGGAAATGACGACGAGTTATTCTGGAAAAGCGGTGGTGAGTCGCGAATTGCGGTGCGGAGCGCTGAACAAACGGAAGACTTGGCGCGATGCCGGCGGTGGACGAGAAGTGAAAGGGACAGCGACAAGACGCGCTATTTGCCAGAACGCTATCATCAGCTACAAATGATGTGTTTGACTAGCATATCGTCCCATTAGAAGGAGAGATCCCCGGATCAAGGTGTCTATGAAGCATGGCGTTCGCTCAAGTCGATGGGAAGGACCATAGAAGTAATATCCAGTCAAAGCCGAAAGGTGAGTAGTTGACGAGACTTTACCTACAGATCCATATCGCAGTGTCGGTTCCGACTTCAAGGCGTCCGTCCAATCTGAAGATCTAAAGCTTTTGCGAGGATGTAGAGCATCTCCAAACGTACGCACACAACGCCCTTCTCCTTACCCATGCGAACGGGGTTGCCCACGATAGCCTCTACCTCTATTCTGCGATTCGACTGAACATCCTGAAGCATACTAGGTTCAATTCCAGCGTTCGTTGGGATCCTGGCTTGCGCCCGGCTAAGCTGATTGTCCACCTGTTCCCGCGTGATCTCGTATCCATAGGCAGCTGCGATATCGCGGATTTCAAGCATCACGGCTAGTACAACACCATCGGCCTCTTCCGAAGCAGTCAGAATATCTGTGTCTTTGCTCAGAGCGAGAGCACACATGGGGTTCCAGGATGCATTGACGAGTAGTTTTATCCATCGCTTGTGCTGAACGTCCTCGTAGAATTCCGCTGTAGCACCGGCTACTGTGACAAGTTCCGTGAAAGCCTTAGCACATTCACTTGGTGCAGAAGAGGGATAGGAGCCAACTTGGAGTTTCTCGACTTCGCCGTGTTTGATGACGCCGGCTGGCCGTTGAGTCGCGGGCATGTAAACGACAGCGCTGATGATCGGGTTCTTTGGGTATGCCTTGAAGTATTCTTCCTCGATACCGACGCCATTTTGGATAAGTACGATAGCCGTGTGTCCAGGTGTGACAGCAGGAGCGATGAGCTTCGGTACCGTATCCGGGATAGCCTTGCTACAGACGATGATGTAGTCAAATGGATCTGATGATTGAGACGCTGCTTCTCCACAGTCTCGGACTGCATTGGGTCTGAAATGGAGATTTTGACCAAATATTGATGAATTGATGATGAAGCCATCTTTTTTCACGACCTCATAATTCGAGCGGCAGACGGCGGTGGTTGCGGCTACCTTGCTGAGCAGGTACAAGTATACCGTTCCGACGCTACCGGCACCGAACAGAAGTATCCTTGGCTGCTTCCCCGAAGACATGGTAGAATCTTAGTATCGAAGATGGTGTTGTACGTAGCTCTCCTGCAGTGCGACATGGAGGATTGGATGGATGTCACAGTCATGGCCCCACGGCTCTTTCCGTGGCCCCCAAATTTTCGCCGCGGAACGGGTACCCGCGTTCCTCCCAAGCCAGCTTGGCGCTCCTTTACAGACCATCAGTAAGCCATCTGCGGGAACAGTCAATCCTTCGTTGTATACTTGAAGCGGCTATTAATCCACGATGATAGGGGCCGTCTTACTTGTGGGCTCATTGCACGCGCGCAGGCTGTCGCGACAACAGCAACAGCTCAGAGGACGACCATCGCACACAACCGGATAGCATCCACTGTGATACAGCAGCACAGCTAATAGCCCTGAAAAAGATATCAGTACCTCAGCCGCACTGTAGGCCCGCAGGAACACAGCGTGGCTTTTCATGCAATCTGGAGCCTCGCCTCGATTCGCTGCCTACGTTACCCATGCCGCATCCTGCATGCCAGGTCAGGAAAGGAGTGGTCAGGCCTGTGAAGCTATGATGGATACGACCCCCAAGAGCTGGGCAACTAACTCCAGGCTGCCTTACATGTTAGTGGTCGTCAGCTCCGTACACCAGCTGTAGTTATAACAGCTATGAGATGAACCGGCGCCCTCGTATTCTGGTTGTCTGCTTAGCCGCCCCGCCAAAGCCAATTTGCGGCTAACGTACCGCGCGCCGACTCGATGATGCACAACCTTCTCTTCCTCCTCCTGACCGCACTCACAGTGCGCATTTTCGCGACGAGTCAGATAGCGCTCTTTGAGGACGATAACTGCCAAGAGTCATTGCGAGGTTTAGAGGGCCCAAACGGCTATCCGAATGGTACCTGTACAGATCTCAGGCGCAATGGCCCTTATGGGAGCTTCCAGGTCGTCGGCCTGGACCCAGGATGCACAGGTATGTTGCTTCGCGACAAGATGGATGCGAGGATGGCCATACCGACATTGCGCGCAGTCACTATTTATATGAACGATACGACCGTCGACATATGCTCCGGCTTCCAAGAAGAAATCCAACCGATCGACTGCTACAACTCGACCTTCGTATACTACAGTATTGACTTCTGCGACGCCGCCGCCATTGGTGAATCGCCATCTGCCACGTCCACGCCTACGCCTACACCGACCCTGTCGTCCACACCCCCTCCCTCAGGCTCCTCAGGCTTGTCAACAGGCGCGATAGCGGGGGCAGCAGTTGGAGGAGGCATAGGTCTGGGAGTCATAATTGGATTAACGGTGTTCTTCATCATGAGAAGGCGGCATTCGTCGCGCCGACAAGAGATGTCGGGGTCTACGCAGCTTACTAGCGTGACGCCATATGAGGTACACGCGAAGCACATTCAGGAGCTGGGACCGGGAGCGGTGGCATACAAACATGAGCCTGTGGAAATTGAGCAACCGCCTGTTGAAATTGGGGGTATGGAATTGAGGCGGGATGAAGGCAAAGATCTGCACCAGAACTGATCTGTCATAATGAACAAAGTAACAGTGGAAATCTTGTTACACAAGGCATATTCTTCGAGTGTCGCCTTGCGGCTGCGCTTGACCTTGCATGCGTCCTCACTGTCAGCACCCTTCCTAGTCTAACCTTGAACATTCCCACTATGAGTCTCAGAAGTCCCATGAGCCACTGTTGGCGATCGCAGTATACCCCCTGCAATCTACTGCATGATAATACACCTCCCCGTTCGGACCGTCGAGTGGCCTCATCCATACCCAATCAACCGCAACAGTTTTGGGTTCGGCGCGCATGACACTGAGGGCTGCTTTGATAGCGGCTTGGCTGCGAAGAGACAAGTGGCCCGGGTTCCAGTCGAGAGGATCCGTCGATGCGTTCTGATAGGGCATTTGTTCCAGTAGCCCATCCAGTGAAAGGTTGTTCAGGCGGGGCATAGTCTCGAGGGTCGCTAGGGCTTGGTGCCATGTCCCATTCTGCAAACCTACAGAGTGTAGGACAACTTCCTCCAGTACTGCCGCATGCAGACGTAAGAAAACCAGCCATGTTTCGTAATGGAGCACTGCTCGCGTAATATTGAGATGTCGCAAACCAGGAAAAGAAAAGGCTCCACCTGGTTCACGAGCCAGCAACAGTAAGTTTAGTTTCCTTCGGTTCTGCCTCAGTTTCAGCTTTGTGATACCAGTGCTCAAGCTCAGCAGCCGCCCAAGCCAATCCAGATCCATGTCACCGACAGTTGAGAAGTAGCGCAGTCGTTTGCAAAGACCTTCCCGCCAGCTTTCTGAGTCGACGAGACAATTGAATGTGTTCCGTCCCTCGTTTGGATTCACGAATTGGAGATCCAGCTCGACCTTTTCGTCCATCTGAGCTTGTACTAAGGCTTGTAGAGTCAACTCGTACACTCGGTTGAAGTTCTGGTGCTCCGATGTATCCCCGTTCCACGTCACGGAATCCTTGTTGAACATCAAGCCTCGACCACATTTGATCTTAATATTCTGCGTCCATCCTGCATCACATCGGAAGCTGGACCTGTCGACCCGAACGTTCTGTAGGCTCTTCAACTCTCGTAAGGCTTCCGTAAGAATTAAGAGATCCATACGAGACCGTTCGACGCTTGCTTGTAAGTCATTGTGTGCTGTTTCATTGACCGTGGTAAATAGGGTGTGACCAATACGCTGACCGCTCACGGTTACCCGGTGTACGTATTTCGACAGTGTCTTGTGGCGGCTGATCTCAAAGAGTGTAGTCAGGCTGGTAGGATGTAGGATGACTATGAGATGCCTGAAGAATCGCTGCCCGAAAGCATGAGCGACATGGGCGCTAAGGGCGCGACAAACCCGGCGTACATTGATGAGGTCCTTGTCGTCAAGGTGATCAGAGATGTTGCCGATTATCTCAGCGGGAAGGTCGAGTAGTCGAAATGGCAGCAGCAACTTCCGAGCAACTTCCGCTTCCTCTTGGGCGAGGACCGCCTTCTTGCGAGCTCGCGTGGTGACCATGGTGATGAGGCGATGGAGGCGCTTGCAGAGAGGGTGTGGTTGAAGAGTCTGCGTCGATGCGAGGTGAGAGATCGTGTGAGCGAGACGCTCTTGCCCGTTTGTCAACACCCGGGTCGTGCGCTTTTACGCTAAGCCTGAACCTGATGTGAGAGAAGGTACGACAGAGGAAGCTAGCAGCGGAGAGCATTCCTGGTGCCTAAGAAAATTCATGGAAGACACGTCACCTAGTCATCTACGAGATAAAGTAGGCTATGTAATTATTATTGCGTACATTGTCTTCTCAAGCCAGTCCCTGCCCGCAACGGCAATGCATACGTAGCTTGCTTTTTGATAGCCGGAGTCGTTGCATGACCTCTGACCAGCTGCCTCAGTACCCTGTGTTCGGGAAACCTACGTGGCATACCCACAATTTATAGTCACCGTATCTGTCTTGATTATCATTTTGGTGCTATCACCACGCAAAGATATTGCTATTTCCGTGGCATACTCTCTCTACGTTCTCCCGCAACTTCGACCACGGAGCGGATGGGGAATCAGTTGACAAAGCGACAGACCAGGCGGACAACAGAGCAGCGTTAGCCAGTGTGAAGTCAATCCGATAGTCAATGCCGCCAGGGTATTCGAACTCGAAGGTGTATGGAACTGGAAGCAAGGCTCCCATGACGAGCAAAACATCTGATCGATTGCTACACGCGACCCCCTGTCGACATGTCGACACTCTGTCCGAACACGGTTCTAGCGCTGGATAGGCTATACTCTGACTCAGCCAAGCAAAGCACATATTTTGTAGAGCCGGTAGTTCGTAGATAGTCTCCAGTATTCCAGACCAGGACTCGTGCTGCAAAGAGACATGCTTTAGTATAATACGAACCAATGTATTCTTGTGCATCTTGAAGAAGTCGTTAAGAACAGCATTCGTAATACAAATACAGCCGTCATAGATAGCCAGGGACCGAAGGTGCGGCCAAACATCCAAGCCACCCTGGGCGTTGCTGAACCTGATACATCCACGGTGAGGGAGCAGGCTGAGTTCCTGCAATGACGAGCACGAAGCAGCAAGGTTGTGAGACCATCTGCCGGTATCCATGGTAGTAACCTCAAGTCTTAGAACCCTGGACGACAAAGAATGCTTCCAATAAGGTAAGCTGAGGTCGAAAAGCTCATATGCTCTGGGCGATGGAGCCAACGTAGACCAGCCTCTGAAAAGTAAACTCAAGTCGAGGCAAATCTTATCGCAAACCATAGCTCGCTCCACAGATCTCATCATCACTTGGATCAAGTGATGTAGGGCGGTGAAGCTGCCTTGAAGCTGTTCCATACGGAGTCTCTCTGGGCCGCAACGGAGGCCGATCGCTTCTGAGGAAAGGATTTCCGAGCGCAGGTACGAACAGGTATCTATCCGAATACTCTCCAGATTCTCGAAACTCCGAAGCGCCTCTGTGAGCATATCTTCCACGGTCGATGCAGGTATGCCAGCGTAGGTCGTCGAAGGTGGACCAGTTTCGCCGCTGATCGATAGAGTCTTCACGAACCGCGAAAGCCTCTGGTGGTGAGCGTAGCGCAACAAGACGGTTAAGCTCTCCATGTGGGGTATAACCACAAGATGAGTGAAGAAGCGCGTCCCGAAAGTGAAGGCCGAACGATGGCTGAGAGTGCGACAGACCAGTCGAGTCTTTCGCAATGAGTCGTCGTCCAAGTGGTCGCAAACGCTGCTGAACAGCTCCTGGTAGTTGAGAAAGCCATTAGCATACGATCATCGCACCGTGCGTCAGAGCGCACTACTTACGAGAGGCAAGTCAACGATCCGGAAGAAGCTGGGGCCGTGCAGACTGAGAGCGCTGAAAGCGACACTGAGCTCGTCCATGGTGTCGCCGTTTCAGCTGACCGCGTAGCTTGCGCGTCTCGATCGAGCGGGGGAAGCGCGGATATTGAAAGTGCGCAGATGGACTTCGTGGGTAACGGTTGTTGGGTATCAACTGCTCGCGCGCGCCCACCAAATAGCGCCAAGACTGCGCGTTTGCTTGTGATCAATCCATCTCAAGTCTTCCTCGACAATATCTCAACCACCTCACATATCAACACAGCATAGGAACGGAAAAGTGACTGATAAGAGGTAATAATAAATGTACAGACATGGAAGAAGTCTATGGTCCCAGACCAAAAAGAGATATGATGATCCAAAGTGCAACGCCGATAAATGCAGCTTCTGATATCGCAAACGGGCATGCTCCTAAACTCCAAAAGCATTGGGTGATACCCAAATCGAAAGCCAGACGTGCACATCCTGGTACAGGGTCCACCGTCAATACACCTGATTGTACCCATCTCTCTTGTACATTAGTCGTGCCAACATCAACCCTAAAAACATTCTAAATCTTCCTCTTCTTTGTATGAAACATGTTGTATTCTACCCTCTTCCTCTTCGGCGCCGGATCGGCCGCTGCCTGCGCATTCGTCGGCTTCGGCTTGGGTGCGCTGAAGTGCATCCCAGGCGGTAAGGAGGTCCGCGCGGGTGGTGGCGGCGCATTGCGTTGCTGCGGTGCAGGCCTCTGTGTAATGGTCGGGCGATTCGCTGATAGTGACGGCGCGGGCTGAGTGTCAGGCTTCTGAGAAACGGATGCCGAAGCTTGCTTGGATACTACCATACTTTTCGGAGCCTCATTCTCCGCCATTCGAACCATCCTTGCTGGTGCTTGCCTGACGTTGGTCTTTCGCTGAGCTAGCAGATGTGCTGGAATTTGGCTCGCTTTCGGGCGCTCACGGCCATGGTCGAACATGCCGCGCTTCAGCTTGTCGAAAGCGGCCTTTCCCGTCTTTGAAGGTGCACCCGACGGTTGCCCCCAGCTGCTGGTAGTGCGTCCAGTGAACATCTTGCTTGCGCCGGCACCGTATCCAAACCTGGTCTCGACGATCAAGGTCTTGTTCTGTCCGCGGTCTTTCTGCAGCGCTTGCATCTGCTGTTTGAGGGCCTCTTTATCCGCCTCTATCTCCAGTTCTGCATCTTTCTTCAACTTGCGATACACCTTGCTCCAGTTTTGAGGATCGCGCGGCTCATGGGGCTTCGTCTCCCAGTTCGGAATGTCTCGCTTGATAAAGCGAAGCCATATCTCGCCCGTCTCGCCGAGTAGTTGTGGGCAGTTGGCCTCGAGTTCGAGCAGCTGATCGGGGCTTTGTATGAATCGGAGGACTGGCTGGAGGAAGGAGTAGGGTAGATCGCCGACGTCGCGGAGCATATCGATATTCTTGATGAGGCGCTGTCGAGCCAGCTCGAAGAGGCTTGCGACGGGCATGGTGACGGTGATGTTTATGCGGAGGATATATCCAAAAGCGTTGCGTAAGATAGTGTTGTGAGGCGGAATGCGAAGATCAAACGGGTCGGGATGTGAAGGGTTTTGGTCGTAGAGAGGTGGTTTGCTGACAGGTTCGTTGGTGTTCGTTGATAGGGTGCCGTCTATGTAATGTGAATCATGGACAGGCCGAACGAGGGCGGCGTGAACCGTAGATGGGGCTGAGGACCCCACGGGGCTCACGGCAGCATGTTGGTGGGCTAGTCCGGATCAAGAAGCTGGTTGTAAGAGCGACGCTTGCCAGAACGATGCGGAGCGATGAAGGGGAGAGTGATGAGAGGCAAGAGTGAGTGAAAGTGTAGAAGGCGCGGTGGACTGGTCTCTGACGTCTGGTCAGGCGCTAGCGGACCCCTGCCAAACGCGTTGATCGATTCAACTCTTGGACCTCAGCATCGCGACTTTGACGACGACGACGTACGATACCACAAACAACATCTCCCTGTTCTTCGACCATTCAGAAAATATGGCGATCAACGACTGGGGTCTTCTTTCCCAACCAGACGAGGGTAAGGCGCCTTCCATTCACTACAAAGCTCCGACTAATTCCAGCAGATGCGCTGCACAATGTAGCCCGCCTACTAGCTGTCGAAGCACGCCCATACACAAACACGGCCAGTCGCATACTCAAGCCAGACTTCTTCGAGGATGCGCGCCCCAGACAACTCCCCTCCCCGCCCCCAGATGCCTCAGGCGCAGAGGAGGAGGCCGCAGCAGTCGCTGTCGAGCGCGAGCAACAAGCGCACAAGATCGAGATATGGCGGAAAGACATCATGAACGAGCTATCACTGCTGGACTTTGCGATTGTTCGATCCGAATTCACCACGAATAGCAACCACACCGAGCGCGCGCGTTACGCCGATGAGAAGACGGCCATCGAGGCAAAGCAGGAGCACGTGCGCAAGAACATAGAGAACCTGCGCGTCAGACTGGTCGAGGCGAAAGAGACGCTGGCCGTGCGAAAGACGTACGACGAGCTCACGGAGAAGATCACCAACAGCAAGATGCTGAAGCCACGGGACGAGCAAGCGCACGCCCACGAGAAGCTGGACCAGGAGATAGAGGAGCTCAACTCTGAAGTACGATTAGCGAAGGCTACCTGGAAGGAGCGACGCACGCAGTTCGGACGCATAGAGGAAGAGGCACGCGGCATGTTGCGCATGATCAAGGACGAGAAGGAGGAGGCTGAGCGCAAGGAGGGCATGATGAAGGATGGTGACGAAGATGGCGAAGGCGAGGGCAGCACCTCCAGAGGAGACGTTAGCCATGCCGGTACACCGCGACCAGATGGTGGCATGACACCTGGGCATGCCAGCCAGAGCGGAGACGGCTCTTCGTCACTACGGGTACCACCACAAGATCGCCTGAAGCCTCTATCACGGGAAGCCAGCGCCGCACCCTCACCTGCTAGATCTGGTGCCGCCGATGACACAGAGATGGCAGACCTTGGGGCACACTCAGGAGATGCCAATGATGGTGACTCTTCTGGGCTGGAAGAGGGCGAGGATCTTGAAGATGGGGAGGAGGATGGTGAAGATCGCACAGACACCAAGATGGACGAATCGTGATCACATGTAAATGATGATTCTTTGATGATTTGATTGCATAGCGCGGTGTTCGGGTATCATTCCATCATCTTTGTACCACTACCATACG